CCCTCCCTCCCCTCCCCTCCCCTCCCCTCCCCTCCCCTCCCCTTCCTTTGTCAAAGAACTCATCATTTTATTTGATCTGCCTTGGCTTTCCTGCTTTAAGAGGGGAAATAGCAAGTTAGTTAATTTCCGTTGCCTGTCTAATTGCATCAGATTTAAGGCCTGTTGCCTTAGAGTCCTGCTGTGCCTGTCTCTTCTTTTGTTTGCACCGTCCCCCAGCTCCCGTGGTAATCATCCATTTTATTTGGTTTGGGTCTTGTAGGTCTTGACTTATGCACTTTCCAGGTTGAGAGCTCATCTTGTCCATTTGGTAAGAAACTGAGCAATGGATGACGGCTGGCTAGAAGTAGTCTTTTTTGTTTTAAATAGTGATTTCAGCTGAAACAACCTGTAGGTGCATGTGTATTTGTTATAGTGCTAATTTGTCACTAATCCAACTTTGCTTTTCCCTTTGTGCGTGCAGCTAAAGCATGGTACAACTGTACTGTGTTTTGGATGACTTTCTCTGTAGTGTTCTTTTTTTTTTAAATGAATGGTTTTATTCATGTTAGTATGTAATTTATAATATTACCCAAATATTATAGAGTTAGTTCCTATAAGAGCAGATAAGTTCCAGATAAGAGCAGATGAAATTTTACTTTTTGATAGCAGTAATATTGAGGAGGAAGCATGATAAAGTAGATAAATCAGTTTTAAATGTGACTATTGCTTAAAAACCAATTTATATGAGATAAAGCATGTAATAAACATAATCTGTATATTGTTTTTGACTACAGAATATTTCAAAAATATGATCTGTAGTTGAAATTATTCACAAAAGGATAATTTTTACAAGGCATTAAAAATTTTAGAGCTTGTCATTAATTTGTGTGAAACTTGTTTCACAAACTGCATATGATAAGTTGAACCATACATTTGAAACACTGTCTTCTAAGTTTAAGCAGTTAATTGTATATTAAACATTGTATATTGATTCTTCTTAGAGAGTCCTGTCTTAATAATATGCTGCTTATTTTTTTGTGGAAATTAGCACTTTAGAACCAGATGTGTTCTTTGGTTTCTCAGGGAATGTGTTTGCATTGATTAAACCATACCTTTAAGCAGCACCCAAGTTTATAGATACATTGTGCCTAATTTTTACTGATTGACTCTCCAGATTGATTTAGGAATCCAGATTAATTCAGAATTACAGGCTTCTCATCGCTCTGTGTTAATCATATGGTTGTGTTTTAATGCAGGGAAATAGTGTAGTGCATTCTGTGTGAGTGTTCAGAGTTCACTTTTTAATACGCATACCTTGCTCCTCAGCTGGAATAGACCTTGGTGCCGGCGTTGATGATCCTTCCTCTTTGCCTCAGCCAAGTGTCAATCAGAGTTCACGACCGTTAAGTGAAGAGCAGCTCGATGGCATCCTCAGCCCTGAACTAGACAAAATGGTCACAGATGGTAAAATATTTGCCCTACATCTAGGCTTTCTAAAAGACATGAGTAAATATGATTTTCAAAGATTTCTGCATGCTTATTTACAATTTAACTTCTCTTCTGATAATTTTATGTCAAATGCTGTTTTGTATCAGTATATTGAAATGATGGTTGTTAATATTTCCACCTCTTTATTTTATCCTAGGAGCAATTCTTGGGAAGTTATATAAAATACCAGGTATTTGTGTTTTGATTTTTAGTTTATAAGAATGGAATTCCCTGTGCTTTGGCTCTGTAGCCCTTTAATCGTACTGTCATTGGAACTGTGTCTCCTAGAGCTTGGAGGAAAGGATGTGGAGGACTTGTTTACCGCTGTGCTCAGTCCTGCAGCCACGCAGCCAGCTTCCGTACCACAGCCTCCGGCGCCTCCGCTGCTGCCCGCGCACGCTCAGGGTATGTCGCCTCTCGAAAAGTGTTGTAAGCATGGCTCTGCGGTGTGTGTCCCTCAGGAACCACGCACACAGACTGATGGCAGAAAGCCCTCTTTTGTGCCGATGGAAGAGTACCAATCTCTGAGTTTCCCTCAGTTACACACCTACCTCCCTGACATCCTCTGGAAATCGGCGATTCTCTTCATGGCCAGAATTCTTCTGCTCACTTGATCTGCGGTGCCACTATTAACAGTGCCTGCCTTCTTCCCGTCCCCCAGTCCCAGTCCCAGCTCACTTTTACTCAGTCCTTCCTGCAAAGATGTTTGGAGAACTGCTCCCCCCTCACCTGACTGCCTTAGACTCATCCATCTGGTCTCAGTTTCACTGTCATTTCCTCAGTGGTTAGCAAATCACCACCTCTACACCTCCCCCATGCTTTTCATTGGTAGCATGTGGTGCAGATGTAAATGACTGTTTGGGTAATTATGGTTTTCCCTTTAGACTGTGAGCTCCTTGAAGGCTTGGGTCACATCTGTCTTCACCACTGTATACCTTGCCACAGAGTATGTCCTTAGTACATACTTTCAGAGTAAATCAGTGGCCTTTCTACCACTGTCGACTATGAAATTCCTAATTCTGTGGAAATTTGCCTATTTTGTTTAATCCACTTTCTTCTGCCTATTTGTAACTACTTGCAGAACAAGTTTAAGGCTTTCCTTTCTCCCTCTGCCTGGACAGCTAAAATCTGATAGGCTAGAAGTAAAATTTGTGGGAGTAGGTAGGTAAGGTGGTAGTGCTGCCAGTCTGGGAATCTCCTATAGAAGGGAGATAGTGGTGTGTATTCTTGATGATTTGAATAATGGGTCATTTCTCTATATCCTGTTGTCACTGCTTCATGATTATATACTGAATTGAATAATTTGTAATGATACTTTTATAAGCTCATACACTGTTTTTGTGTAAGTGCTGAAATGTACAAATAATTTAATGTTACCTTTACTACCAATTTTGTGTATACATGAAAAATTCTATAACGCACATAATTGAAATATTTTAGTTTCTACCAGTTTAGCCTCTAAACATAAATTTACCTTGATTTTTGCTAGACTAAACATGTGATTTACATTTGGATAAAACAGACATCATAAGTGCTTCTTGCCTTAATTGTTCCCATATGCTGTCTTAATGATTAAGAACTCTTCGATATTTCTCTTCTCAACATATAAAAAAAACTATCTCCATGTTTTCTGAAACTAAAAGTATGTATTTCAGAAATCAAATCATTTAAAGATGTATTCCTTTATAAAAGGTTTTATGATCATTGTTTAAATCATTTCACTGTGCTGTCTCATTTTTAATAAGGTTTTGAAGGTTGGGGGCAGTTGATTTATTTTTTTCTACCCAAAATGTGCTTATTGGGATGGTTTCCCATTCATCTTGATTCCGGCAGCTTTTAGTGCTGCTTCCGTCTGGAGGAGCATCCTTCTGTAAGCCTTGCTTTTCCTCCTGTAGGCTGGCAGAGGACAGTAGAGCAGCCAACACACAAAACTACTGTGTGTGCATGGCTAGAGACGGTGGTGATTATATAGCATCCTGGGCATTTCACATCCATGAAATAGGAACTGGGGCTCTGCACCAGGCGCTTCTTCTTGTGTTTCCTCTTCTCTTCTGGAGAGGGATGAAGGAGATCCTTTGCGAGAGGCATGTTCTCGTGGGGAGGTCATCACCGTCGGAAAGGTGGGGTTGATCTTTTTTTTTGCGTAGGAGTCGCTAAGATTTCAGCATTCATGTTTGAAAGAATAATAATTTAAGGATAAAGCATGATCAGGTCACATGCAGGGAGACCACACAGATATTCAAGAATGGCAACTCTAACATTTTCCAGGGCAAAGGAAGAGAGGTAAGTGGTCAGTGTTTAAGAAGGCAGAACAAAAAGTACGCGTAGGAACTGAATTGTGTCTACACAGCTAGGCATTGGCAGTTGGCCTTTTTTTCTCCAGGTTTCTGAGAGGCACTGGAGACCTCACACCAGTGAAATGACCTGATGAGTTACACATTTCGGCAGAGTAGCTCTGATGTCAGTATTGGAAATGGATTTGACACAAGAAGAGTTGTACTAATGAGTTTATTGCAGTTGGGACTGAGTTAGAATTTGGGCTCCATTTAAATATATCTGCAGTGCTAATTGAAAGGAGAAAATGGATTTGAGAGACAGTGATGTTAGAATAAGTAGGATAGTGCTACCAAATGGATGTAAGATGTGAGAAAAAAGGAAATAAATTGAACTAGACTATATATAAGCCAGGCTTGCCTAGAGGACAACCAGTCATGCTGTAAACTGGAAACATGGAACAAAGAAGCGTGCACGCACGCGTATGTGCATGTGTGTGTGTGTTGTAGGGGAACAAAGAAGCGCGTGTGTGTGTGTGTGTGTGTGTGTTGTGGGGGAACAAAGAAGCGCGCGCGTGTGTGTGTGTGTGTGTGTGTGTGTTGTAGGGGGAGGGTAGTGGAGATGTAATGAATTTAGTTTTAGGCCATTTTTAGTTAGAAATGGGACATACACATTGTTCTGACTTACAGGCAGTTGCAGTTGTTCAAGGCTATAGATGAAAATTTAGGAATTGTCTGTTTAGTGGTTGGAAGGGTGAGGTTTCTTAAGAATATACTGCCAGTAGAGTACAGAATCTTGAAGAACTCTTTTTAATTAAATAATGAGTTACATGCTTAAGTCAACTGATTTATATTATACACTCCTTTCCCCTTTTGAAGCATTAGGTGGAAGTGAAAAAAGCTGAGAGATGGAGACACTGAGTGAGACGTATAGGATCTTCGCAGTGGCCGTCATCAGGCTGTAGGGTCGGGTGGGGTGAAAGGCACTGTTTCACTGGATGGTGAGATTGCTGTGATCTTCAGTGGAACAACTTAGTAGGAGCGATGAGGAGAAGGGCAGAGTGTGATGTGTTGACACTTTTACAGAAGGTCAGAAAGCAGAGAAGGGAAATTTCAAGAAGATTGAGACAGTAACTTGAAATCACTTTAGGTGAAAGTTCCATGAAGTGACTTTGCAATTCTTACCATGGTTTATGCCTTGAAAAAGATACTAGTGTGACCAGGTATGGTAGACTTGAGAGAATGGGAAAAAGACCACCTCCTAGTTAAAATAATAACAAAGGGAAAATGCTTTGCATCTATTTATGTGTACTTAAGTTATTTAATTTCTCTGGGTCTTTTTGCATAAATGGAGCTACACGTAATAACCCATTTCATGGCCTGGTTGTGAGGACCAAAGAGTTAATTAACACATGTAAAGGTTTTGGAACAGTGCCAGGCATATACTAAATTGCTAATGAGTAATAGCTATTGTTATGTAAGGTTTCAGTCTAGTCGTATTGCAGGTATAGTAGTCAGTGCTGATAGCTCCAGGATAGATCACATTCTCACTACCAGGAAGGGAGCTTTTCTTTATCCTAACTACATGAAAGGCATTTAACATTTTTCAATAAAATATCATATTCCTTAGTGGAACCTACTTTTCTCTAAAGTTAAAAAATAGAAGTAGCATTCTACTTGGAATAAGTGCAGAAATCTTGCTTCTTAATCCGATCCTTGGAGTGAACTTAAGTGTCCTGAGACACTTGTTGTGGAGTCCAGATCCAGTGGGCCCAGCTCTGCCGTTATGCAGGAGAAGCCCTAACCTGGAAGTCAGATGATTCCAGGACCACCGTCCTTGAGACAAAGCCTGAAAAGCTGCGGGCAGTCAGCCCCAGTGTCCTCAGACGAGCTTGAGGGTCGTAACGGAGGGTCTGGTTTGGCTGAAAGGACATTATGTAGTGTAGAACATTATGTGGGCAGGACACTTCGTTATTTTTTCTAATAGCTTGGCAAGTGGTTGGGTTAGGAGTTCTGTGTCACTATACCAGGTGTGCCCAGTATTAACCAACTTTGTAACTGATTTTCATTTGTATAATTAACTGGTGATGTGGATCTCCTAGTGTTGTTCTGAGTGTTACGACGTTAAGTAGAGGCCGTGTATTTATTATGTCTTTAAATTGGAAGGGTTTTCTCCCCACCTTCCAGTTTTATTGAGATGTAGTTGACATACAGCACTGCATAGTTTAGGGTGTACAGCATAGTGATTTGACATACGTCGTGAAATGATTACCACTGTAAGTTTATGGAAGGGGTTTTTGAAGGTACACCAAAAAAAGGTGGGTTTTTTGTTTGTTTGTTTGTTTGCTGGAAAACTGCTTGGTTAAGGACAGTTGGCTTATTTCCAAATCGTTTAGGAAAATAGATGATTGCAATAGGGGTTGGAGTTATATGCTTGTGGAGAGTTTGGAGAAACACAAGGTGGTCTTATTATGGTTTGCCTAATGTCTATTTAGAAAGAAGATGTGAAGGTACTGGAATGAGAATTAAAATACATTTGGGGGCTGAAACTGCAAGTAATGAAAATTAGGTCAAAACCAGAAATTATTTATTTTTACAGTAGTCATCCAATTTATAATGGTAGATGAAATATTGCTTGTTGTTCCAAACTACTTTAGAGAAAGTGTCAATTTGAGAGTAATAGGTGTTTTTTTCATATAAGGGACATCTGTTTGTAAATTTTGAGTGAAAAAGAATGTTTGATACAACTCACTAGCATTTGTTGAGATTGATTCTTTTTTTATTTATTTTTATTTTTTTGTGGTACGCGGGCCTCTCACTGCTGTGGCCTCTCCCGTTGCGGAGCACAGGCTCTGGACACGCAGGCTCAGCAACCATGGCTTATGGGCCCAGCCGCTCCGCGGCATGTGGGATCTTCCTGGATCGGGGCACGAACCCATGTCCCCTGCATCGGCAGGCGGACTCCCAAACACTGTGCCACCAGAGAAGCCCTGATTTTTTTTTGAGAGCTCATATGTACTGCATACTTACTGCATAGCAGGCACTGTGCTGAAAACTGCACATACAGTATGCCAGTTACATTATAGAATACCTTCATTTTATAGAAACAGTGATTGATTCTGCTTATAACAAGTAGCAGAATTAAGATTCAAGCTCAGGGCCGTCAGACTCCAAAACACATGCTACTTCCATTATACCATAATGAAGTAAACAGAATTATAGAGTCCATATTTCAAAATTTTATAACCTAGTCACTCTTTAAGCGATATTTTACAGTATAATATTGGGGGGAAAATCCTACTTCTAAGTGGTGTTACGAATTTTTATTTAAAAATATTTCCGCCGCTTTTTAATTATTTTTTAATAATATGCAAAAATTGCTGCTTTCTTCTTTTAAGATGTTTTTTCACGGATGCCACTCGTGAATGGCCTTATCGGACCTAGTCCTCATCTCGCACATAATTCTTTGCCTCCTGGAAGTGGACTGGGAACCTTCCCTGCTGTAGCGCAGCCCCCCTACACTGATGCCAGGTATTTAAAAGCCTCCACGTTCTACGGAAACGTAAATCTTTTTTGTTATATGAATGGTTATTGGTCTGAGTGATCGTGCACAGTGTTAGTGTGTTGCACTCATTGTGATCTTTGCGAAAAATCATCAAACATTTTAGCTATTTTGTAATAATAGGTTTAATGAAACTGTACTTGACCATAGTACTTAGAAAGTTATTTTATGTTTATGAAGTAAAGTTGTTTATTATTTGCCAGGGATAAAAATCCAGCATTTAATCCAATGGCAAGTGACCCTAACGGCTCTTGGACATCATCAGCTCCCACTATGGAAGGAGAAAATGATACAATGTCAAATGCCCAGAGAAGCACACTCAAGTGGGAGAAAGAGGAGGCCCTGGGTGAAATGGCAACAGTAGCACCAGTTCTCTACACAAATATTAATTTCCCCAACCTAAAGGAAGAATTCCCAGGTAAGTCACGGATATATCACTGCTTACATGTGACCAGCTTTCCCACACGGCACAGGCTTTTTTTGTTCTTGTCTCACTATAACAGAGAGCCTGTGTATCACCATTAATTTTTATCTAGTGTGACTCTGCACAATGTGAAGATTCCCTAGATATCTAGAAACATCTTGCATTTTCTTAGTCCTAAGCCCGGTACCGATTTGCATATTTTCCAGAAGTTAATTTCAATTAATGAAGTGATTCCAGCTCCTAGCAGTCTTTTTAAATACATGGAAGTCAGTGTTGTGTTATATGTGTAATTGTACAAGAAAATTCCTAGAATAAAAAGCTTATCATTTAATCAGAAGTATTAAGTTAGGCTAAATCAGACTCCATTCTAAGAATTGTTCACATTGAAACTAACTCGGAAATATTTCCCCTTCTTCCCAACTGTCTAGCCCATTTGAAAAAAGCAGATGGTACAGTGGTACCATTTTTGAAAATTCTCATTAGCAAGAGGATGAAACATTTGGAATAATGTCACTTACAGAATATTTGTAAGCAAATGCTCATTTAGTATCTTGAGTTCATGTTGCAAGACAAACTAGGATTTGAAAAGGTCACTTAAGCTTTGTCTTGCAATAGTTTCCCAGCTGTCATATAGCTCTTTTAAATTACTAGAGGAGTACTTAAAAGTGGATTTTTTATGGATGACCCCTGTCTTTTTTGGTTTGGCCACCTTGTAGTACTTTATATATTATTCATAGAAATAAATGCTACCTTATCTAACAAGAAAAGTCAGTGGTTTAATGCAGGGCTGTCTGTTAAAGCAGTATACACATTCTTCAAGGGTTTTTTTTGTGTATGTGTGTTTTTTTAACCACAG